GACATTAGACCGAAAACACAGACCTCAGCAAGGCCATTCAGTGCATGCAACCATTTGCCAAGAATAATTGTAACACCAGATCTAGTGCCACTGTCAAACTCTTCGGAGTTCAGATCAACGTTTTCTAATGGAAGAGAACTGGAGAAAAGCGATTTCAACAAAACATCTGCCAAAACAATGTTACCTTCCTTAAGAACTACAGGCAAACAGGCAATACAGTCAAAAAGGAAAGATTCATCTGAGCATTATGACACAAAGCTGAATACATACTGTGTGGGAAGTAAAGAAGAACACACTAATGATAGCAAGTGTAATGATGCTAATGCAAATAATAACAATTTGTGTGAACCTATGATGGGCAATACACTTTCTGCTGAAAACCTTGTTCATAACACAGTGACGTTAAAAAGCTACTCGAATTTAGGAAAGAGGCACAGCATTGATGTTGGCCGAATCCTTCTTAACAAAGACAGAAGTTTAACAAAACAAACTTTCAAACAGCAGAAGGTAGACAATGGTGAAAGCAATACTCTCAATAGTTTAGCCTCCGCAACCAGTGAACTGAAGAAAAGCATTGAAATCTTAACGCAAAAAACTCATCTCTCTAAACCTACAGAACTCGATCCATATAGACGAAAGAGTTTCTGCACTGCTACTGGTAGAGTCAACGATACGTGCGCCATAGAAAAATCCTCTTTCTCCAACAACGGTCAAAAGCCTACACCATCTCTTGGAGGGCGCCATTCTGAAGAAAGATGGCGTTCAAGGAACAATCACTCTAGACGACTTTCATCGTTTTTATCAAAATGTGAGGAAGAACTACCGACCAGTACTTTATTAGAAATTAAACGCTTGCGAGGTGAGCTCTTGCAGAACAGTAATGAACATATATAATGATTAACTACCAACCAAAATACATTAATGGAGAATAAACGACGGCGAGGTGAACTCTTGCAAAACAGTAATGAACAAATATAATGATTAACTATATACCGACCAATACATTAATGGAAGATAAACGACGGAGAGGGGAACGATCGAACTCTTTATAAACAGAAATGAAAATATATAGTGATTAACTTCCGAATGGACATTAAACGCTTGCGAGGTGAACTCTACCTAAACGCTAATGAACAAATTCATGTATAATGGATGTAACCTGAGACCAAAATACATAAATGGAATTTAAACGACGGCGAGGTTAACTGGAAAAAAATGGCTGTGCACTTGTAACATTTTAAGTAATTATTTTGTTTCTCAAAACACATGTATAAAATGCACGTGGCATTGACGAATATGTTATTAGATTCTTGATAATTCACTATAACTGTACTTATTGCCAAAAAGCAAAAGATGAAAACGCTGGGTTCAAGTAATTGGCCAATAAGTAACTTTTTGTATTCTATAAATGTACACCAAAATTAAGAAGTCTTTGAGAAATAATAATAAAATCATTTCTAAGGCATAATGCGCTTTAAGTTCGGTCGTGAAACAAGAAAGTCTTTTCCCAGATTTTTATCAGAGAATGTGCCAGAATTTTGCGGAGCAGCATAGCTATATTTTTGTATGTTTTTTTATTGATTTTTAAATACGTGTGTTTGAAATAAATGTTGTTTTTTAATTGTTGTTGTTTAAAAGTAAAACTACTTACACTCATAATTAATTTTTGTTTATTTTTTATCTGCTTGTTTATATGATGGACTCTTAAAGAATGCTGATTGATAAACATTTTAGTTGCACTAAGTTGAGCCACTAACGCTTCGTTAAAAGCCTAATTTAAATTTAATTTCAAAACAGTCAAATTCTCTATACATGTATGTGCATGTGTGAATATTACTAATGTATATATGTTTAAAAACTCGGTTTGATTGAGTCTGTATACGTGCCTGAGGGAATATGAGAATGTGCAACATCTCTCACGCCCCCCTGTAAACATGCAGTGGTTGGGCCAACCACGGAAAATCGTCATAGGAAAATCGTTGTTGGACCATGGTTGGCCCAACTCTAATTAATATGTACTATAAATGCAGTTGTTGGCCCAACGTCGAACCAACCATAAGTTAACGCCAGCGACATTTCTGCATTGGCCCAATAACGATAAATATGTACTTTAAAACAGATGTTGGGCCAACGTTTGACCAACGATACATTTTCGTCAAATATATTAATTACTGCACCTGACCCCAAATTTTTTTTTTTAAAGACAGATATGCATGTAGATATTTTACTGTATAGGAGAGATTTACCACCACGTCACTGATAACTGCTGTGTGGACTACGTATACACACAATCTTAGAAGGTCGTACATTCACATGTAAACAATGATAGCATTTTCTGTAAAGTTAACATAAGATGATGTTCCTGGGGCAAAGTTTTAAAGATCAGAATTATCTGAACATATATTTTTTGTAATATTCAAAATGAAGAAAAAAATACAAAACTATTTTCTAAATAGTATTGACATATTTTATATATAAGATAAGTGTGATGTTATAAAGGGTTAAATTTTTGCTAAACATCTACATGTACTTTAATTTTTATGTCAATATCAATCTTGAAACAACTCGCTACATGTGTTCTTTGAATTATCATTTTTATGTGAAATATGCCTGCTAATTTTGTTTCATTTTCATTTTCCCTTTTTTCACTTTGTCAATGTAATTATGTTTTATGATTCAAGGGTATTATATTTTAGCCATTGTATGCTTAAAATGTATGCTTAAGACCCAAAACTGAGTGTTGTTAACATAAATATAATTTAAAACTTTATGCTTAGTTCATGTTCAGTTTTAAGTATTAAGCAAGTTAAAGTGACATTATGCTAATATTTTCATAGTCAATTTGAGCTGAAGTGACTTTATATTTCAAAAGATTGACTGTTAAAATGGTGTTTGACCAATAGGTGATATTTGAACATGTTTGGGATAAATTTAAAATTTAAATTTATTTAAAAAGTTGACAAAATCCCCAGTTAAACATGTTTACAGCAGCCAATATAAAAAAGAAAAGGCAACATAATTACTCAAAATAGGCATGTGTCACATCTGTGGTTGGAAAAAAATCTGGGATCAGGTAGATATGATAATGATATCCGTGAATTTATTTCAGAATACTAGTACACCTCTAAAACTATATCATACTTATAAGCTAGGCATTATATATTTGATGTAGTTAACTAATTATAACTTTTTTAAGGCCACATATTATAACAAATATCTAAACAATGTCTTTATAATTGTTCGAATATTTCTTTTGCCTACAGTTTTTATAATTGTTTGAAGATTTCTTTTCCCTGCAGTTTTATTTATTTTCAATAAAAAATAAATAAATAGGAGATATGAGATAAGAAAGATTGTTTTGTTTATATAATTTTGTAGTCATTACCTTTAAAAGTACAATATACATGTAATTGCATCGTTTCATACAATAATTAAACACAATAGCCTATATTTTCCCAGTCACTTTGCAAGCTTAATGTTAATGCTTTACTTTAATTATTTTTAATCACCTGTTTTATTCGCGATGAATTAAGTTTACGATGAATTAAGTGTACGTTATTTTTTGCTGATTTAAATATTATATTTTTTCACGACTAGCATTGATATTGTTTGTTGTACTGTGCATAATGCGAAGGATAGAATCTCATTGTTGAATATCAGAACAGAACAGAACAGAAAGTTTATTTTGACGTATACAAAGTACATAGTCAATTACATTAATACATTCATTCATACATACATATATACAATCACAAAATCAATGGATAGTCTGCAAATTTCTTGAAGGTGAACAGTTTAATCTATTTTGTTTCCTTCAGTATAATATCTATCACTTTAATTGTTGTCTTATTGAAAGAATTAAAGTATTCATGAAGTCGTGTTTTGTTGTACATGTTGTTCACTTTGTGTCATGATTGTAAATGGAACACCTTAAGTACATTTCAAAATGAATCTCTGAAAATATCTGGACATTGATGAATCTCTATCAAAGTACAAATGACATGGGCATTCGATAAGCTGAAACCGGCATCAATTTGAGACTGTGGTTATTTCTTTATTTCAACTTTTATGACATTTTGACAGAACTTTGTTACTTCAAGCATGTTAAGAATTTGACATGAACTTTTGAAATATGAAAATAAAACGGAGGCTATTTCAAGTACATTCTGCATTTGATATTCATTCCTTGAACTCTGAAAATGAAAACACGGGCTATATGTCGCACATTATGCATTTATGTCGATATTTCGGACTCTCGAAATGAAAAAAAGCTGTATATGGTATGATATCCATTTGAAATGGATTATTTGGGCTTTGAACATGGAAAGGAAGCTTAATTGATAAGATTGGACCCAATAATGATTCCTATTAAAACATCACAAAAATGATCACAAAAGCCAACAATCTTCATCACGTGACATTCATGTAGGATTCCGTCCGGTATATATGATGTACAGCGAAAGGAAAAGTGATCCCATTTCCATTTCTAGAGTCCAATATTATAGTTATAACAAAATCCATGTTGTAGCCTTTACCCAATCAAGTACGATCTAAAGCAATAAAATGCTCCGGAACAAAACATTATTCTGCTATTAAAAGTCAGAAATTAACCATTTATCTATAATTTTGTATATGCGCAGTTTCCTTTTAAAGAAATAATTATACAATCATATTTCAATCATAGGCCTGTAAATTATGTATTATGGAATTATATATCTTTTCAAAAATTAAAACACTTATTTTGTTAACTACGAGCAGATTTAAAGCTTTTAACACGCCAAGTTTGAATGTAATTTTTTATCAAGTTATTGTTAAAATATACAAGTTTTATTATTTTTGGTTTAGTGTCTAAAAAATATCTCAACCTCAATATAACACAATACAATATAATCCGCAAAATATGACAGATATTAATAAAATAATATGAACATAATTTGAAATATTTTTATCTTAAAAATGTCATATAGACCCACTGAATGGGATGTTTTATTATATGACTAATGTTGTTGTTTTAACATATACACCTGTCACTATAATAATCACTCACTCACTCACTCACTCACTCACTCACTCACTCACTCACTCACTCACTCACTCACTCACTCACTCACTCACTCACTCACTCACTCACACACTCACTCACTCACTCACTCACTCACCAACTCACTCACTCACTCACTCACTCACGCTCACACGCTCACCATCTCACTCACTCACTCACTCACTCACTCACTCACTCACTCACCAACTCACACACTCACTCACTCACAAAAGCCTTAATCGGTTTACACTAATTGGCTACAACAAAATAGAGTCAAGGATTTTTTATTTGTTAAGTTCAGCATACGTAATTTATCCGTTAACGTTAAGTTCGATTGAGAATGACGTCATTGATCAATTAAATCGTCAATTACATGACGCAATAACATCCTATCTCCAAGGTTTACTATGAAGAATCTTTCCATCTTCAGATACAGATGTGTTCGACCTGCTCGTGTGATATCCTGTCCTAGTTTCATGAGTGATCCTTCCATTTTCGGTGTCAAGTTGTGGCATTTGAGACGAGTTTGACTGACAAGCGAGGGAAGTCACTTCAAAATGTTTATTCTTAGGACCAAGATCGCTAGTTCTCTGGCTAAGACTGGACTCTGGCCGAGCAACCATGTTAATATCTGTTACCTCAACGAGTTTAGCTTTTGTAGATCTGAAACATGACACAACATTTGCATGAGTCCCACTTTCTCGACAATTTGTTTTTCACATAAAATATATAAATCTTTCTATAAATTAATGCAAATAGGTTCATAAACGCCAGTTTCCGTTAGATATTTTTCGATATCCCTTTCATAACACGCAAATAATATGTCTTGTGTTTGTTTGTTTTTTAAAGTGACCACAAAATTTAATTTCGATCAATATTGTTTCCTTACTGATAATTGATTATTGGCGAAGTGTCCCCAATGCCGTAAATTAATATCATATGTGTGTATATCAGTTTCTGTGATATATACTGAACCAAAAAAGAAACTTTCGCAACGTATGTGCCAGTTGTTCAAGGGTACCACTTAGATGTACACACTTATATACATGTAGTAGCTTGTAAAACTCGTTTTGTTTGCAAAATTGGTCAGCCTGTATAAAAGCCCGATATGTTTATTCAACGTAAAAATCGAGTTTCAAAAGGATTGAAAAAACTGTACTAACATATCTACATTAAAACTTGGAGAAAGTTTCTTTTTGTTTCATTATACAATGTATATGCAAAAACTGGTGTCTAAATAAGGCCTAGTTCTGAATTAAGTTGAAAACTCGTTCATTATACTTATGTTTGTTTGAAGGCACATTATGCCGCAGAAACCAGTATTTTAATCATTAATTAAATAGGTCAAGCATGTGTTAATTATAATAGATTTAATGTTAGAAATTAAGCAACTAAAGAAAGAAGTGCTAAATGTGTCGTTATGAGTCGTAAAGATAGCAAAATGTTAATAAACTACAAAAGCAAAATGTAATATTTTTTCTTCCATACAAAAAATATAACACTATGACTATAATAATTGCTAAAGAGCAAAATAATCATCAAACTATAGATCGTTTGTCATATAGTGACTTTTTGGAAACGGTCAGAAGATACCAGCTTTTGATAGAAAAAAAAACTGACAACATTTTGGAGGCTTAATTGGCCTTTAATTCTATTTTTATAAGACGCGACATTTGACGAGTTTTACAGTATTTTGACGAGTTTAAAATGTTTACCTGTATCTTCTGTATATAAATATGGCTACTGTTATGACAACGAGAGCACACACACAACCAACTATGATACCAGTGACTACAATAAAACAAACATATATTAGTGACAACAATAACACATATATTAATGACTACACACACACCCAACTACGACTCCAGTGACTACAATAAAACACATATAAGTGACTACAATAAAACACATATTAGTGACTACAATAAAACACATATTAGTGACTACAATAAAACACATATTAGTGACTACAATAAAACACATACCAGTGACAACAATAAAACATATATTAGTGACTACAATTAAACACATACAAGTGACTACAATAAAACACATACCAGTGACAACAATAAAACATATATTAGTGACTACAATAAAACATATATTAGTGACTACAATAAAACACATATTAGTGACTACAATAAAACACATATTAGTGACTACAATAAAACACATATTAGTGACTACAATAAAACACATACAAGTGACTACAATAAAACACATACCAGTGACAACAATAAAACATATATAAGTGAATACAATTAAACACATACAAGTGACTACAATAAAACACATACCAGTGACAACAATAAAACATATATTAGTGACTACAATTAAACACATACAAGTGACTACAATAAAACATATACCAGTGACATTAATAAAACATATATTAGTGACTACAATTAAACACATACAAGTGACTACAATAAAACAAATATCAGTAACTACTATTAAACACATACAAGTGACTACAATAAAACATATATTAGTGACTACAATAAAACATATACCAGTGACTACAATATACATACAATTTTCATAAAAACATGCATATTATTTCATTAACCCATATAACATTTCGTTCGTTTTAAGATATACTATGCTCAGCCTAGTTTTAAGATATACTATGCTCACAGAAATTTATTGAAATCTATGAAATTCTTAATGAATATGTCTAATTGAAATAACAGAACGAATAAACTATGTATGGGAAGCTGCGTTCCCTATTCAGGTCAAGTAAAGTTAGTCTTTTCCTAAAAAACCTACCAGTTTTTTAATGACACTATGTATTCATACTGTGACCACATATAATATGTAGAGATTAAAACATAGCATATCTACTTTGTTTGAATTCAAAACATGTTTATTTTATATTTATAAAGAGACTGTGTAGTCACGATCAATATTTTCTAATATCAAATTTGAGCCAAGTATATCTTTACAGTAATAATTTAGAAGAGAACGCATACATAAACTTGATCAAATAAAAATAATAAATATTAAAATGAAGAATGTCTAAAAATGAGATTATAATGTAACCAGACAATCGTCAACTTTATTTCGTAGTTGATACAGATGCATCACATTTTCCAGTCTAGAAAATTAGCTTAATACACCAATTTGACTAAACTGGTTTGCGTTTTTATAGTGAAAATGGAAGCGCGACTGCGAAATAAGTTCTTGCACTTTATATTAATCATTTTCGAGTCCGCTTCCTGGAACGAACCAGTACTGGTGTCATATGAAGAAACATGTCCGTGACCCCGAGTAGGGATCGAACCTATAATCTCTAGTTTGAAAGGCAGACACCTTAACCACCAATCCAATGCTCCTCTTATATAGTTGTTGTTCTAAACATTTTCATGTGTATAAAAGAAGCTTTTGAAGAAAGATATGAGCCGCGTCATGACAAAACCAACATAATGGGTTTGCGACCAGCATGGATCCAGACCAGCCTGCGCATCCGCGCAGTCTGATCAGGATCCATGCTATTCGCTGTCAGTTTCTCTACTTGTTAAAGAGTTTGTAAGCGAACAGCATGGATCCTGATCAGACTGCGCGAAAGCGCAGGCTGGTCTGGATCCATGCTGGTCGCAAACCCATTATGTTGGTTTTGTCGTGACGCGGCTCATATTACCTTTCAGTCCTTCCTCAATAGGCACTACAACATTAACTGAAAAGTAAGGTTAGAAAAAAGTGGTTAGTAAAATTAAAATCTCACATTTATGGAAACGACAAGCGCGTGCGTTTCCGGACGTTTGCTTTAAAGTCTACGAATGAAAATTTAATTTTCTTGATGGAAACTTTTACGCATATAAGCTGGTACTGTTTAGGCCATTTTTAGCATTTTTGTATAAAATGCATGTCCAAATTTTTTTTTTTTTTTTGCTTCTTTTTTTCTGATCTGAAATGATTTTGAATTACAATGAGAGGCCTTTTTTGAAATCTTTATTTAAGATGCATGCCAATTATTTTCTACAATGGCAAAATATGTAAGTAAGAATTTCGAAGTACCTGTGCATTCATTAATAGTTGTTGACTGAATTCCAATGGTACTTTTTCCTGTTGGACAGTTCACGCAACTAGATTGTGCTTCAAGAGACTGGTAAGTTCCTACTGGACATGGTTTACATATATCCATGTTCAGATAGGAACCTTTTCCACATGGAACTGTAACAGCAACAGAAAGTTGTACATGTATTATTAAATATTGTTTGTATATGAACCAGTTTGTCATTATGTTTTACGAAAATGTTGGTCTATCAAAAACAGTGTTATTATTTTCAGTTCAAAATCTGATATGGTCTTTTTCGTAGTTGCTTTTTCTTTCTGAATATATTCTTTCAAAAAAAGCAATTATCGTAAATTTTTTCTAAATTTTAAATTTAAACTTAATTTAAAATATTTTTTTGGCCCAAGTCATGATTATGACTTTTTTTTAAAAATGAAGGCTACTGTTATAAACAAAACTTAACGCTTAATCTGCCGAGCGAGATACAGTAGTCTGTAAAAACCAAAAGTAGAAGGCCAAACCTCAATATACCCCGTTCTATCATGTACCAGACCAACTCTTAGCTTTGGGTTCCCAAGACAAATTCATCACGTTTTATCAAGTCCCCAACCAATCCCTCGCTTGCGATACCGTGAAAAACCCCCACAGTTTTGGGTCGGGGGTCCCCAGTTTAGTCTAATTTGTTAGCAGGTACCAGACTAAAACCTTAGCTTCTTGTCGGGTACCTGACCAGAAACCTCAGCGATGTTTCATATACCAAGCCGAAGGATAGGCATTCATGTATTTAACTTGTTAGAAAATTTGATAAAATTCAAAATTAAGCAGACAACACTTTTAGCAGACAACAATATGCCCAACATTCAAAGGGAGACAGTTAAATAAATACATATTAATAAGCGAAAACGAATACTTGCCCGTATCTAACAATGCAGGGGATGTGAAACGATAAACATATAAACATACCACAATAAAACTTGACTTTTGTTTGTCCAGGTCCACACTTGACGTCACCTTGTATTTCAGTAGAATTGCTCCTCAATTCATAGTCATCGTCAAGAACTTGAACTGTGAGATCACCGGAATCTGCCGCATTCTGGATGTTTTTAAAAGCGTCCTCAAGGTCTTGCAGCGTTTCATTTTGATTTCCTAAAATAGGAAGTGCTTGAATGACTTTCATTTGTGAATGTATCATTAATTAACAGCAAACAAGTGTTGAGTTTAATGATTTAAAACCTTTGTCTTATTATCTAATATCATATATTTTTTAGATTTTATTTGGACATATACGTATGTTTCTCTAAAGGCACAATATATAAAGTGAATTGGTCTGTAGGTCTGTAATTAGAAGGTCTGTAATTCGATAAAAAAATACGTTGATAGTATTTAGTATCAGACATAACAAACTATGAAAAAATTATCCATGGAAGTTCTTGGCAAGTTTGAGATACAAGATCCGATGTTACATATATTTATACAGCAGATAATAATAAAATGTTCTAGAACAAAATATTTTTTTCATCATGCAGTGCTCATATTTAGTCTCTTAGAACTTAATTAACATTTTATTCCAAGCAATTCTTTATAATAATATCTAAACGATACATTTCTATTGTTTTTATCAATATTTGAAATTCTTATGAAAAAAGTGCTCATTGTACACCAATCCACTTTTTATTTCATTCATCGAAATCCATTTCTTCCATACCTTCAGTTGGATTAGTTTTTATCTGTAAACTGAAGCCGGCTGTAGTTCCAGTAGAGCGTCGCCTTCGATCATTACTTTTACTGTCACAATCAATTGTCTTTACGTAATTCAACGAGCACGTGTTTTGTACTAAACATGCTACATTTGACAGAACCATGTTCACTGTGAGATCTATCTGTTCTACTGCAAAGTCTTCAAGGTCCTGATTTGCACAATAAAGATCTTCATAGTGTGCAGAGTACATCACCGTTATCTCTTCTGGTACTTTTATTTCTGCAGTTAATGACAGTAAACAGTTCACACTATTGATTCATTATATATGAGTTTACATTGTAAATTAGGTCACATTTCACATCGGCGCTACGCTATGGGACATAGGCCACGCCTATTTACGAATAAGCGGAATCAAATTGACCCTTCAACATTATCAATCTTGCCTTGATGAGCAACCTTAAATGTACCATGTTTACTATTTTGCGGTACCAATTATATTCATTGCTCTGTTCAACAGTGTTGTTTTAAACGTTGCAATTACAGGGTTCACAAAAAATGCAATACGTTTTAATTTCTGAAATTAAATATGAGATTACCTTTCTTTGCAAATTGATTAAATTGTTTCGTTTGAAGTATGAAGATCATATAATTTATTAATAATGGTATATAATTTTATATCTGATATGATGTTGTAACAGAGATGTTTTTCCTTGATAGACAGTAAAGAATTGTTTTTCAAATCTAAAATAAAAGCTAAAGGCCGCTTTAAAACTTGTTTCCATACCGACACAACTTGGTATCCTTCTGTCAGGGTTTTCGTCATTCTGAAAGTTCCATTCTTGGGATGTTTGAGGTCCGCAGTAATATAGTGGAAGAGGTTCAATATCGAAGTCAAAACCGTCATCACAAGACATTGTACAGTTAATACTATCTGTATCATTGACACACTCAATAGATCCATTTCCTGGAGGTTGTATTTCGCGACATACTGAAGAAGGAAAATAATACTGAACAATTATATCATATATTCAGTGTTTTATCTTTCTTTTCTTCAGCTGATACACATCAAGCATCTCACAGGTTCTTACTCCATTATTACATCATTACAAAACTCATATGTGCCATTTATATGAAAGGACTTTGGGGCATTATATGACATTGAAAATCAAATAAATACATAGTAATTTTACAATTTTACTCAGCAAAACCGATGTAGATACCTAATACTGAAATATTTATTTATGCTGTAAACATTACCTGGACAGTCGGTGTTGTTGCAGTTTATAAAATCAAAAGTGTCTCCATGGCAATCTTCCCCTCCGTTATCTGGTGAAGGATTGTTACATAGACGCTTTCTTCTTTTCTCTCCATCACCACATGTTGTTGAACATTCAGACCAGTTTCCCCACTCACTCCATTCACCATCCACTTAATATACATACGTATATAGAATACACAATATAAGATTGAAATATACAATTAAATAACCCTTGATGTACTGGAATTAAGACTTTTCATAATTCAAAACTTTAAGCATCAAGATGTAAGAAATGTAAAATGTTTGAGGAAATTACATTTAAGACCACTTTATCAACGATATTCATTTTCACAATCCATTACACAAACAACACGTTGTATATAAAAGTTTGTCATAAAACATTACTTCCATCACCATTTAATAAGGACTATCTATGTATATTTGATATACACTATATACAAAATTAAGATAGTTATTGCAAAATATTGACTTATTTTATCTGTTTTCAAATTTTCATTTAGAAGGGCATAATGCTTAGCTGTTTATAATAAATAACAATAACAATTTGTGCAAACTATATTGTTTGAAAGGCATTAAAGAAAAAGTAGAGAGACACAAATTTATTTCAGATCATCATATTTCTAATGTTGTTTTACGCTTTGTTTTTAAAAAAGTAATTTTACCCATTTCTATCTCGCAATATTGTCCCGTGAAGTTAGATGTGCATGAACCATCACAGTAATTAAAAATTAAAATTTAAAAACCCAAACAAAGGGGAAAAAAAATAAATTTAAAAACAAAAATAAAAAAATTTAAAATTTTTTTAAAAAAAAATTTTAAAAAACAAAAAATTTTTCCCAAACTTTTAAACTTCCAAAAACCCCAAAACCAAAAATGGTTTTTTTTTTTAATGATAAAAAAACCCCTCCTTTTGGGGGCCTATATGCCTTTTTTATTTTCAAAAGGTTAAAAAAAAGACAAATTTTTAAAAATTTGGTTTTAATTTTTTTTTTTATATTTTTAAAAACCCGTGAAAATTTTATATTTTTTTTAAAAATAATATTTTAAAAAGGTAATTTTTAAAAAAAATTTTTTAATTTTTGTTAAAAACATTGAAATTTAATAAAATTTCCCAAAACAAAGAAAAAATTTTTTTAAATTCCAAAAAAAATAAGGGTTTTTTTGAATTATTTTTTTATAACAAAATTTTTTAAAAAAAAAACAAAAAAAAAAATTTTTTTTAAAAAAGTTTTAATTAAAATATTTTTTAAAATAAAAAAAGTGTTAGAATTTTTAAATCAAAATTGTGGCCCATAGAAAAAAAAAAAAAATTTTTTCTAACCCCATTTACACAAATTTCCTTTTCCCGGTAAACCCCAATTTTCTTAAAAAAACTTACTAAAATTAAAAAAATTTTCCCTTTTTCAAAAAATTTAAAAAAAAAATTTTCTTTTTTAAAAAATTTTTTTCCCATTAAAAATTTAAATATTTTCTTTTAAAAAAACAAAAAATTTTTAAAAAAAAATTTTTTTAAGGTAAAAAACCATCCAAAAATAATCCCCAAAAAACCAAATTTAAAGGTAAATTAGGCCATCGTTTAAAAAGGAAATTCCATTTTAAAAAAATTTTAAAAAAAAAACCTTTTAAATTTTTTTTAAGTAAAGACCCAAACCCTTTTTTTGAAACTTTTTTTTCCCCGAAAAAAATTTTTTAATAAAAAAAACAAAAAAAATTTTTAAAAAAAAACATCCAAATTTTTTCCTTTCCCCTTTTTGCAAACCTCAAAAGAAAAATTTTTTTTCAAAAACCCCAAAAAAAGAAAAACCCAAAAAAACTGATTTGAACCCACCTTTTGTAATTGGGAAATATCAAAAAATAAAAAAAAAAAAAAAAAAATTTTTTAAAAAAAAAATAAAAAATTTAAAAATTTTAAAATATGTCGTTAGTTGATTAATTTAAACCCAAAAAATTCACAAAATTTTGGTTTAAAAAAAAAAAAAACACGGGAAAAAAATTTTTTCCCAAAAAAAGTTTTAAAAATTATAGGCCCGGGTTTATAAAAAAATTAAAAAACGCCGTTTGGGTGGTGGGGTAATTTCCCTTAAAATGAAAAAACCATTTTTCAAAAAAAACCCCCGGGGTTTATTAAAAAAAAAAAGTTAAAAAAAAATTAAACAAAGTGCTAATAAAAATTAAAGGGGGGAAAAAATTTGAATTTTTTCTCCTATTAAAAAAACCAAAATTATTGTTTAAAAAATTTTCCCCCCAAATTTTTTAAAAAAAAATTTTAAAATTTTTTTATTCCCCCAAAAAAAAATTTTAAAAAAAATTAATAAAAAAACCCAAAAAAAAACCCCAACATTTAAATTTAAAAAAAATCATTTAAAAAAAAAAAAAAAATGATAATAAAAATTTTTTTGGGCCCCAAAACCCCCCCAAAAAAAAAAAAAAACCAAAAAAAAATTTTTTTAAAATTTTTAATGTATGCAAAATTTCTTTCAGAAAAAAAAACTAAGGTAAACCTTTTTAAAAATTTAAGGGCCACGCTTTCCAAAAAAAAAATTTTGGGAAAAAAAAAAAAAGTTTTTTTTTTTTTTTAAAAAAATTTTTTTAAAACTAAAAAAATTAAAAAATAAAGGGGGATTTTTTTTTTTTTTTATTTTTAAAAAATTTTTTAAAAAAAAATAAAAAAAAATTTTTTTTTTTTTTAAAAAAAAAACCTTTTAAAAACCCTTTAAAAATTCCTATAACAAGCTTTAAAAAATTTTTAAAATTGAAAAGAAAAAAAAAAATTTTAAAATTTTACCCAAAAATAAACCCCCTTTTTTTTTTTCCCCTTTTTACCCCCCTCCGAAAGGTATTAAAAAAAAATTATAAAATTTAAAATTTTAAAAACCAATTGTTTTTCAAAATTTTTTGAAAAATCAAAAAAATTTTTTGGGGGGGAATTTTTTTTTTGTAATTTTTTAAAATTTTAAAAAATTTAAAATTTAAAAATAAATTTAAAAAAAAAAAATTAACCTTTTTTTTCCCCTAACAAAACATAAAAATTTTTTTATAAAAAAAAAAAAAAAGCCCAAACTATTCCTTTTTTTAAATTTTGGAAAAAAACAAAATAAAAATAAATTTTTGTTTTTTTTTTTAAAAAAATTTAAACTCCTTAAAAACAAAAAAAATTTTAAATACTTTTCTTAACATACTTTTTAAAAAAAGGGAAAAAAGGGGAAAAAAACAAATTTTTTTAAAAAAGGGAAAAAATTTTTTTTTCTTTCCCCAAAAAGAAAAACTCCCAAAACCTGATCCCCAAAAAAAAAGCGGATGCGAAACCAAAAGTTATGGCTTTAGAAATGGGGGCCAAAAATTTTTCCCCCCCAAATGTTTTTTAATTCCCTGTGGAAAACAAAGGAAAAAAAAATCCCTTTTTTTAAAAAATTTTGGGTAAAAAAAGGGGTTTAAAAAAATTTTTTTAAGCCAATTAATTAAAATTTACAAAAAAAAAGGTCCTTTAAGTTAATAAAAAGGGGAAAAATTTTGTTTTATTTGGGAAAAAACAATTAATGGCCCCTTTTAAAAAAAAATTTTCCCCTTTCCTTCCCTTACAGAATGAAAAGTTTTAAAACTAATTTTTGTAAATCAAAACCTCAAAAAAAAACCCCAAAAAACCCAAATTTTTTTTTTTAAATTTTAAAATTTTAAAAAAGGGATGTAAATTTTTTTTCCTTTACACTGAAAGATGGGAAAAAAAGTTTTTTTCAAAAATTTGGGACAATACGTTTTTTGAAAAGTTCCCTTTCAAAACCCCCAATTTGTAATCCCCCTTTTAAAAAAATCCCACACAAACAAAATTTGGGCAAAAAAAAACAAGAAAAATCCAAAAAAAAAGAAACTAAAAAAATTTTTTGGAAATTTTTTTTTTTTAAAAGAAAACTAAATTAAACCCCCTTTTTACTGAACCCAAAAAAAAGATAAAAATACAAAATCTTTAATTACAATTTAAAATCCAAAATTTTTTAACCAAAAATTTTTTTTAAATCTATTTTATTTTTTTACACAACCTCTTTTAAAAATCCCCCCAAAAATAGTTTAAAGGGGAAAAAAAAAAAATTGAAAAACCAAATTTAAATTTTTTATTTTGTGTTTTAATTAAATTCCCCTTTTAAAAGGGAGTTAAAAATTTTAATAAAAATTGTTGTTGGATCCGTTTTTTCTTTCCAAAATTTTAAAAAAAATTTTCAAAAAAAAAAAAATTTAAAATTTAAACCAAATTTTAAAAAATTTTAAAAAATAAAAATTTTTTTTAAATTTTTCCCCAATTTTAAAAAATTTTACCTTGAATTACTTTTTCAAACCCCTCAATAGGACACCCAAGATATATTTAAAATGGGTTTTTAGAAAAAAACTGAAAGATTTGAATATTGAGGCATGTAGGCCTTTAAAGATCTTGAAAACCCACAGGTAAAAACCTTTAGAAAGAGTCGCTTTTGAGAAACAATTAGTTATACCTCTACATGTCTTTACTTTTGGTGGTTGTCGTGACCATTCACCCTTCCCATCTTGACACACGTACAGTTTATTTAAACTTACGCTTGACATTTGTGTACCATTCTTACATTGTACTTGACAAAACTGTCCTCCTTCCCAGTTGTCACACACTACCGCACCGTTTGTAGGTGGCGGAAGAGCTACACACGCTCTACCATCTGGAAAAGACTCTTTAAATGATTTTCTTAAACATGTCCATAAGTATATTTTCGCGATATTAAGAAACATATTATGATAAGACGCATAATTCTTACTGACAACCACAAAATTTGATTAACAGTAGATAAAGAACTCTTTCTCATGTTACAATACGAGGACTGATCAATATGTAATATGACGAAAAATTTTCAAATAAAGCTCGTGATTCTTGATTTTGTGTAATCTGTGCAAAGCTTGAAGCTTCTTCTTACAAATGATAACAAAATTATGTGTGTAGTCAACAGGTTAAAATTTTTATTCACATCTAAAAAATATGAAAATGTTCTATAAATAGTTTTAATGATATTTGTAATATTTATGGCAACAATGGCATACCTTATGCAACTGTTTCGAGGTGAACGCATTATAGGAGAACATTAGTAATTGAATATATTTGTTACACGTGTGGGATCTCAATTGTAACGTGTAAAATGTGTTACAAATGTGATTGTCTAAAACAGGGGTTGACATAAAACAGACGAAACCTTCACCGACAATTTTTAATCAGTAATTTTCATCACGGACTTGAATCATTATCGCCGTTATTATATTACTTTGTTTTCGTTTGCGGGTTCGCTGGTAACCAGGTTCAAGTCGTTGTTGAAGAAATAAATAGTAATGAAAATTGATTCTGCACGCATAACTTTGACATCCAATCTTCCAAAGACTATTATTCAGTCAAATTCATGCTCTGTTAAGGGCCGTTGATGCCAAGGACATGTATTAAATTTAACGTGAAATATCTTTAGTAGACTTGAAGATTAATGTTGTTTGCAAAACTTCTTTTAAAGAAAATCTTTCTAAGTTAAAAATGGTCATAAGTTCGACTCAATTTACGTCAGTTATAATCCTTGTATGGTGATCCCCAATGACAACATGTATTAAGTTTTAAGTAAATACATTCTGTAGTTTGAAAATTTGTGTAACAAGCAAAATATTAACCAATAATTGTTCAAAAAGGATCATAATATTGCCAGAATCTATGTCAGAGTAATGGGGTTCGGACGATGTTGTTCAAGATGTTGATGCAAAACTTTCACTAAATTGTTAACCGCAAAGCATATAAAGATATAATCGATACACTGAATAAATGATTAAACGACAACAGCAAAAGAATTAACGATTACAAATATTTTCAACTACCGCTACCAACATCATCACCACTGTCATCAAAACTACCAAAACTACATCTGTTACAAATGACTATTACAGTTTTTTTACTTATTTTACTGCTTATCAGCCGTAAAATGCATAATTATCTCATTCTTGTATTTCCTTTTGCCATAAGGTTAAAACAATATAAATTTAAACAAACGAAATAACAAAACAATAGACAGGCAGACGGGCACTTGGAAGGAAGTATCGACCTTGATGGTAAAATACTACAAACATACATTCAAAGCCTTTCATTCCTATAAAATAAATAAAGTTGATGTCCCAATTTGTTATATCACTTATTGCGTACTTAGTGCAATAGACTTTAAAAAAATCTTGCAGGAGTAGAGGTGGACTTGGGTCGGCCATTTGTTCAGTTATTAAATGTTAACCTAATGTGAACTGTGATGAAAGATTAAACGTCTGAAACGTCGTGTTTGTGCAGGAGAAGATTATTTCGAAGGGTTGAAATAGAAAATTGTAAAATACTTGCCTTTTTGTTAAATTTGTTGACAATATTGCCTCACATATTACGCCATCCTCATATTGTTATGTTTCCCTTTGAGTTTCATAGACTTCAACATATCATTTATGACTAACTAATCGATGATGACATATGTGCCCTCCAAGGGGCAATTTTCCTCCCTGATATCATCTTAACGTTTGAATAAAGTAGAACCCACGTTTCAATTCAAAAAGAAGCAAGAACAATGGATTGAATAAGAGAAGGTATTCATAGATATGATACAGAAATCATGGCTTCACCATTTAACGTCATTATAACTGATATATTTATACCAAAGTAACACTTAAAATATCTTACTGATGCAAGTAGATTGTTCTTTTCCTTTCCAGTTCCAGACACCATATAACTGTGTGAGGTGTCTGTTACAACCGACATCATCTGAGCCGACCAACACCTTTCCAGGATCACAGGAAATGTTGCACCTTGCACCGGACCGGTAACCATGGGGACAATCAATGTGAAGGTATGGTGTAGGGTAAAGTTTAGAACATTTTATTTCTGAAACAGAAATTGTACAATTATATTATAAATAAGTATCGGTAAGAATAGGTTAAAATGACATAATTCTCATTTTTACTTAGTCTGGGTAATGGACAACAAAATGATAACTACTGTGACTCGACTGAGCGTCAAAATAAATGAATAGTTTTTAAATTTAACAACATCTTGTTAATATAATTTCTAAAACTGTATCAGTACAATAATAAAATAAAAATACATATTAAAATAGAAGAAATACAAAGATATTTTCGATTTTTACTCGTAAATAACACGCGGTAAAATACTCATTGTCTTCTTAATATGGAATCTAACTTCTGGCTTTTCTATAATTCAGTAACTTCATTACAAACCTCTTACAATAACTTTAAATGAACAGTTGTTTAAAGCGATGTTCCCGGCGGCATCTCGTGCTCCGTACCATACTGAATATATGCCGGCAGTAAGTGTGTCACCCGGTGAATAAATAGTTCGGCTGTCTCTAACAGTCTTGTCGCTATTATCAATCACTTCCGGCGGTGTCCAACTAACTTTGGTAGAGTTCAGACCTGTATCAGTGCCTGCTATAACAATACTTGGACACGTTCCATTCTTAAATGTCGGTGGTTCAACATCTAGGACATAAATAGTAATTACCGAATTGTATACATGTACTTAATTCACCTGAATTTGATGGTTTACAAGACAAAATAGATAAACTGATGCCTTAAACGTAAAATGGTTACCCATACAAAGAGCATAAGAAATAGCATATTCGTCCAGATGTGGCAAGTTGCAGTTATAAAATTTCTTTGACGATAAAATTTCTAAGGACCATTGACCTTACCTTATGAAGATGTATATACCAACAGAGACAAAAATTGAACATGATGATCTCAAAACAGTAATAACGTTATTTGAGTGCAGAACTATTGCTTAAGCAGTTTCAATTATACAAATAACATTATATTAGAATGTATAAAATCGTATAAAATCATATTTTCTCTAAGAAATATAAACGTATACGATATCAAAACATTCTCAAATAAAATACTTAAAGAAATGAAAATAACTGAATGTTCATGACAAAGGTTTTTTTTAAAACATCATTAAATTAATTATGCGCATGAAATAAAATCTACAGAATAACAAAGTTTTTACCAATACATTTTGGTGTACCAAACCCTCGCCAGGACTTTTTTTTGTCACATACCAGTGCTTTACTCACTTTTGGTGGCATATCAAACCCAGAACCACAATTATATGAACAAACGCTACGAAAGTTGGCCCCATCTGTACACTTTGGTTCTCCTGCTCCCTCTAATCGGGGTAATGCATGGACATTTCCAAGCTACAATCAGTTATTGCAGGTAAAAATAGAAGTATAGTATATTTGTATATTACTAAAATGTGTTTGTTAACGTGATCATATAGATATATATTATAATATTGCATATATTGCTTTAAAGACAGTTATTTTACACAAATTAAATCAGAGAACATAATCCCTAAGGAACACACGAAATGAAAATGACAAAATGAAAATATTGCAGGTTCACTTTAATGAACGATTTTGGTAATTGCAAACTTCCGTCCATGCCCACTAGCACCGGCATAAACATTGAAGAAGATATTGGCGAAATTTGAATTTAAAAACACCCGCAGACATGATTTAAGTATAAATACGCTTACAAGTAAGATGAGAAGCTTTTTTTATGTAATGGCTCAAGCGTTACTAATCTATGATTTGTGTTTTCTTTTAAGATATACTAATTCAGCATGAAATAAAAAATCAACCTTCTTGCTGATCTGATTTGTAAAAGTGTTTTGCAAAAATCGGTTTTGAACGTTTTTGTGTTTAAAAGAGGTCTATTGAAAACATTAGCATTTACGTTCCAGGCATGTTGCCCTTATTCATGAATTATCCCTCATGTACAGACTCAATCAAAGTAAATCTGCAATTTTCATGTAATTTTGTTGTAAAAAAATGCTTCCGAGGGATCACTTTGTTTCAAGATCTTAACACACGCCTTAGCTGTCAGCATTTGATAACATTTGTTCTGCAGGTTTGTTTAGTTCTGAATATCAAGAAGTTATCCGTTGAGACAATTACCATGATTCAGTAACCAAACAGAGGCAGTATAAAGTGTCTACAAGTATATGACTGCATATATATTTGATAAAAATATCATTATAAATGGATTATAAATCTAACTATAGTATGCGCTTTGAAACATGCAAACATATAGGAAAGTAACTTAGATGTCTCTCCATCACGTCAAACTAACAAACTTCATCTTACGCTTGCAGTAAGGCTGGGAGTCTGACCACTGTCCATTGTCCTTGCAGTACACGTGATCTGGTCCGCCAGCTAATTCATATCCCTCGTAACAACCAAACTTACATGTCCCTCCTTTCAAATGTTCTGTTACAGGGTAACATTGGAAATAGCCATTGTTTATATGCTTTGGTGGATCACAGCGTACAACTAAAACAATGATTAACTGGTTAGTTAACAAAGTCAACAACGGTCGTCTAAATTGCTAGATCTTAATTGGCACTAAAAATAGACTGAACAAAATTGATAAATATGTATCATATAGAAAAACAGAAATCCTAAAGAACGCCCATAAAAGCAAAAATGAAAATATAGCAGGCTCGGTTTGATTGAGCCTGTTCATTGACGGAAGTGGTTATTGCAAGCTACAGTATACGCCCTCAAGCACCGGCTGAAGTAGAATTACTCATTGTAGACATCCTAATGGTGGAATTTTGAATTTAGAAACATCGGCATGTTTGTACGACTGTTATCTTAAAACATATCAAATTAGTTCTTGTGAGCTCATTTACAATAGAAACCCGAACTTGACATAACACTCAAGGGAAAAAACAATACTTTTTATTTTTAAGAGTTTTATTTTCTCTACTTTTTATGCTTTATTTATTATGTCGGACATATACATTTACAGAGAGGCCAACCTCTGCATTATCCTTTGAGCACATTGGCATTGTGCTATCAAGCAAGACGGCCAATGACGACAGCTAGGGCTTCATCTCGACAAATATCATGTATGGCAGGGTCGAAATAGCATACCATCAGCACATCAAATATATGTAATGTAGCATCTTGTCCTATTTTTTAGCCAAGCTAGATTGCTAAAACGCTAATAATTTGAACAACCGCTTTAAAAACAACACAGTGAATACGTGTGGTAAACACGTGTTCTTTCTGTGCGCTTTTTTTCTTTGTGCTTGGAGCAAGAGCTCCTCGACCAATTGTCCGTCAATTTAAATTAAGAAAAAATACCAAAAGCCCCCAGATGAAAAGTGAACAATGGCCCAAATCCCATCAAGTGCAAAAACAACAACAACAACAAAATGAACAAAAGAACCTCGATGGGGTTGACAAAGCCCCTTAATAGAAAACACAGAGTAGTTGACAAAAGCGCCTCCATAGAAAAATGTGATAGTGATTACACATTCGATGTTAGTGTACAAATGTGATAGTGTGATAAAGATGGGGTAACACATTCGAAATAAGTGTGAACAACTTAAGACTTGAATCATCTAAATTTAAAGACCGTCAGACAGTATTGAGTTATTGTTATCATTCAATTTGGCGCTCATTTGGATAAAGAGTCTCTCTGTACGTTAAATAAACAACAACTGCAGACAATGATAATTGTTAACAACATTCACGCTAATTTTTTATGGTAGTTTATGCAAAAATATCTCTAAATAGGTCTATCTAATAAACTCTTTAGAATGAATATTTGGTTAATGTCTGACATATGTACACAAATTCTGTACCTTTTACAATGACAATGATTTTACAATATGCAGAATTTCCACTTCTGTCTGTGGCTTTATATATGACGGTTGTATCGTTCTCGGGAAAGTTATGTCCAGGCGGGTATCCCTGTATTAGTCTTGGTCTATAATGTAAAATGCATAAATTATATGTTAAAAAAATATTTCTTTTGAGATAAAGAAGTACATGTATCAGCAAAACAAAATTTTGTATAATGACCAAAACATCATCATCATATCACACCAAATAAGCCGAGGTATGACCTCCACACACTTAGTACATTACATTATTGTGTGAAGACAATCAAAATTCTACCTTTACAAGAATTAAGGATCCGAGCGTATACAAATTACATACTATATAAGAGAAATTGTTGTAACATACGTGATTCGCCCATCTGTTTCATCAGAAGCTACAGGTTCTTGCCAAGTCGCCCTGGCAACGTAAGAAAACGGTTCCGCTGTTACAAATATTTTCGGGGGTGCGCATGTCATTCCAGGGGGCGTTCTATCTGTAACAAGAACCAGCATTCAAATGATATAAACATTTATTTGAAGTAAATTTTGTTCATTCAAAAGATCTTCTTGAAAATAAACGATTTTATTTTTGCTATGTGTAAAGAAGAACTATACATGATGGGTGATTTTTTCACGGTAAAATTTGGTCACCGCTTAGGGTTTTTGTTAATTGTTCGTTTGATATTCCACTATTTGAATACTAAACAGACACCATCTTCCAGGTATATATTGGCCAATTCCAATGGTATAGACGTATAACTTTTAATGTAACTTTTTCTTTTCCTGTTATGCTTGTAGATTTTGTTTCTATGCGGCATTTTTATAGAAATATGGGTCACAATTTCTGCAAGCATATTGGAAAAAGTTCAAAAAGCTACATTGAAAAAAAATTCCCTTGAACATGGTTTATATTTGTTATTCAAATACTGAAAGATATAACGAGAAATTAGCACACAAAAAACATTAGCCGTGACCTTATGTTACTGTTAACTAATGACGCGTGAATCTCAACACTGCTCTAGTTCTTGTTAGAGCTTTGTCACAAGTCTTTATATGAAGTTTGGGCGTTCCTGAGTTGATACTAATGAGCGTTTGTTATATATCATGCTGTAAGGTATAAACAAAACTCCTAAAACTTGAAGAAAACAGTTTAATTAAGTCTGTGATTTGAAATTGTAGTTAATGCACACTACATTTGATGCCCCCCTCAACAAAAAAGAACAAAAATCCCTCAAGCCTCGTTGAAAATTAAAAAGAAAACTATGACAGTTCTAAAATAGCACATACCAGAGGGACGCCTGTCACCGAACGCACAAGCTGTAAAAAGTGAAGCAACACATACGACTCCTTTGAAAACGTTACCAAAAAATCGCCCTAATCTTCGCCAAAATCCTCTTTTTCGTCTTCTGTGGCTTTTATTATCAATGACCTCTGAATTATGTAAATAAACTTACAATTATGATCAGATCTACTATTTTTGGTGGGCGGGAGCGGGAATTAATTTTTGGGCGGGAATGGGTACCAAGTGACACTCTTCAGCAGCTAGCGTATTGCTCTTTACATGTATTGCACGGAATATTTTACGATTACAAAAAGTAAATATACCGGTAAATGTTATAATTAATGCCAAACAAAGTCAAGAAAGTTCTAGGTATTAGGAATGAAAAAAAAAAGATTGTATATTTAGTTGTTCATTCATAATTTTTATGACCAAGACCTCTGTGCAGTGGTTATATACATGTACAATGCAGCTAATACATGTCAAAAAACTTTATACTTATGATAAATATATAAGGATTTAACTAACTACAGTGTTTGAGTGTCGTGCCTCAACACTTTTTAGTCTCATTCAATATATAAAGAAATTTAACCTTGATGTATGATCCATTGTTTATCATCACATTGAATGTGTTGAACACCAAGTGAGTTTTCAACGATGCAGACAGAACCTGTTGCGATTGTACCATTTTGAGCAGATTCGATGTGAACTTCCTTGTCATCATGTACACATCCCAATATAGTACCAGATAATTCAGAGAAGTCACAACACTGCAGTAAATACAGAGTTCAAAGGCACATTATGCCTCAGAAATAAATCATTTTTACTTCTTTACAAAGGACAAGCATAAATTATATAACGTTTAAATAACGGTTTAAGTCTATGTTAGATGCTTATAACCTGAAGAAAGTAGCGATAAATGTGAAATAGTTTGTTATAAAAGTAGCAAAATGTAAACAAAGCAGTATTTTGACTTGCATTTAAAATACTTATTTACTATAACTGTACTAATTGTCAAAAAGCAACAGATCATACAGATGCCTCAGGCATTTGGCCAATGAGTAACTTTTTAATTGTAATCTGTCTTATTGGCTTATTGGCTAAGATAACCAGTGTTTTATAATTATTTTAATGATGGCTATTTGTCGTCTATGTATCTTTGTTATGTATGTTTGCATATGACGCGACTTTAAGCCGCATGCTCCCAGATGAGACAAACTATTTCAAATAAATTAAACTTGGGAATAAATGATTTTAAGAAAAGTAAAAAGATTTAAGAATCAAGTAATAATTTACATGTTATGTGCGATTAAGGACTGATTGCATTAAGGGCTATATTTGCTAATTTTGATATATTTTTTGTTGTTGGTAATTTACGTAGATTTCAAGTGTTATTTGCAATGTCATAATTTTTTCTTTGATCACTTCACAATACTTTACTTTTGCAATATATATTTTTTCTTTAATTTATGAATATAAGCATGAATTATGAGGCGAGCTGCTTTAAAAGTAAAACATAGATATGTATAATATGCATAATATATAATGATAAAGACGTAATGTGATACTTAAGAATATGTAACTTTACATAATTTTAAATCATATTATTTAGTAAAGCGAAAGTAAGACTCAAATTGAACGTTTTATAACAAGTAAAAAAAAATAATATAATATGATATTTACCTCCACAAATGCCACACAGACAAGAAAAGAATTATACAGATATATTAACCTCATTTTAGTTATGTGAAGAAATTAGACGAAAATCAGAAAACTGAAAAGTATTTACGTCTTATCTCATTTTACAAATCGATCAATGCCTTTGATGTAAAACGATTTCTCATTGGCTATTTCAAAATCAATACAGATGTCAGGTTGTCAATCAAAGTTACGAGTTGCGCCTTGGATATTTCTTCCAAACTTAAGTCAGGAATTGGCAACTTGATAAAAGTGAATTAAATATATTATAACTCTGATTTCACAAAGGACATGAAGCATTCGGCACATAAATTGAAATTATATTTGTTCATTTGTATTATTGATAAAGTATGCGAAGTTTACTTAATTTTGACTATATTTGACTTGCTTTATCAGAGAAATTCATTTATAAAATACAATTACATTATACGCCTTGCAAATATGGTGCGTCCAATAGTAGAGTTAGTTGGGGAAAAAATCAAAAATGAAAATAATGACAATCGTTCCGTGTGATGAAACTTCATTATTTAAAACAGTTCATAACGCCGCGTTTAAACAGAAAACATACTAAGACTACCCCAGAATTAAGACCATCTATATTAAGAAATATATTCTGCAGTCATCACATTAGATATTATGATATGCTGTTATAGTAGAATTTGAAGGTCATAATACACATTCTTTGTTCATACAAAATGACTAAAATACCACGGTCATAAAATATGTAAGCAATGGTAAGAATATTCACAAACATGACAACCCCGCAATTAAAAATATCTGATTTTTTTAAAGTTGACTTGAATAAAATAAAGTACATACTCACCCTGGCATGGAATTGTGGAATTGTTGTTGTAGCTGTTTTATTTTTTTTGTTTGTTTGTCTGCTGGTATATTTTTTATTTCTATTTATTTTTTCAATTATTTTTTCTATTTTGGTGGTGGTGGTGGAGGAGAGGGGGTCAGAACACGTTTTTTATCCACAATGTTTTGCTCATTTAAACGTAAATACAATAGCCGTATCATCTTGCCTTTGGAATACACGCTAGAGGTTGGAAATCAAAACCCTCAAATGCCACTTAATGTAATATCGTCATGGATTTTAATCTAATCCAAACAGTGTGCGCTAGATTTAAAACTTCCCTCTCCAAAATCATTGGTTAAGAAGACATTCAGTATTTCCATGTAAAGTTTATTTATTTAAGATAATACTTATTTATTTAAAATGTTTATATTTCTATTCGACGACATATATCTCCATATTTGGGTTTTTATCTCTAGTTTGAATAAACACACAGGGTTTAATAGAGTTACTGTATTAAGTCCCCTGGGTAAATAAAATTCAGTGATATATCTTTCTTTATAAAGTAACCTTGTAATAGAAAGAGCACCGAAACACGAGGCTATCTGATTTGTACGAGGGGGCGTAGCCCCCGAGTATAAATCAGATTGCCGAGTGTTTTGGTGTTCTTTCTCTTTTGTATCATAGTCAAACATAAAAGCACGTTCCCTGTATCACAATATGAAACCCCGGCAAAAATGAACCAATGAACGAACATCTGGATATGACATTTCTGTCGCTTCCCTTTCTCTGCCATCACAATATGTAAACGCCAGCAAAAATGAGCCAATCAATGGGCATGCTCTGGAGTGCGGGTAACTAATACCCGCACTCCAGTTAACGCACTGTGCATGTATATGTATACGATTTAACCCTGACACATTTTCAACAGAAAGGTCTCCAAACTATGATACAAATAAAAATTACATACCCTGCTTAGATACAATTCAGTGACATATCATTTTATTGTATTGCACAGCTCAGTTTTCTGGATTATAAAACCGATAATAAAATAATTAATTCGTTTATATCATTTCTTTTTGTTCTCTTTCCATGAATCAGCTTATCATTTATCTATGTTTGTTCAAAAAAGCTAACTTCCTGAGCTTACCATAACAAGTTGTGTACCAAAGTTCAGGTTCTTTGAAAATTGAAAGAGTTAATTATTTTTACCATTATGCCGCCAGGAATCGCAAAACGGTTACGTGTTTTAGCGCTGTTCGATTACGAAAAAAAAACAACCAAAAAAACAACCGATATTTGATTTTGTACGTTTCAATTTATTTATAAATAACGATACTTTATAGGGTTAATGATATTGATATACATGAATGCTTAGTATAAATACAAAAAAAAAAGTATCGTTATGTAAAGAATCTTTTTGGACCCATAAATTAAATACTATGATTCCAAATGGACTAAATAATAAAGTATTGTTTGATTTATAATGCGTTACATGAATATTAATATGTTTGTCTATTATCTTATTTTTATTAACACTGTCTAATAGACATCTGTATCACTGTTGATCCATTTTAATTCATGTACAAGCTTTATTTATAGCATAAATATTTGTTTCTACATGTTATCATAGTTTTGCCGCTAAACGCCATAACGTTTTTCGCGCGTTTAACGCGTTTTACGTTATGACGTCGCTTCCGGTAATTTTATTATGTTTTGCACTGATGAAGGCATATAGCCGAAACGTATGCAATAAAAATTAATTACTGAATGTTCGTGTTTGTGTGGCTTGTCTGTTTAGTATAGTAAGATCAATTGAAAACTTCAAGACATTAAATTCTTATTGTACCATAGCAAATAAAACATACTTTTAATTAAATAAAACGTCTGTTAAATCAATTTATGATATATCTTTTTTTCTTTCTAAAAGATTTTGTCGTGTAAATTTATTTTATTGTACTTTGATTTTGTGCTTCTTATAAGTCATAACTAAAAATTTCGACGCCAAATTATGTTCAAAAACTATGTATTTGTAGCATTTATTAGATATTTCTTGCACTTGCTCAAGAAAGATGTGATATAAATTGAAATGGATTTAAAAGAGAAAACATTGTAGTCTTAAGTTATTTGTTGTCAATGTGATAGATTTGTGTGCGGTCAGTCTGATTTTGCGATGAATAAAAGACAAATAAATTTACAACAGTCCAATGTTAGTTTTAGAAATTTTGGAAATATTTTTATTTTTGTTCCTTTTTGTAAAGTATTGTTTAATACAAAAGTAAAATATCATTGAAGTAGTACTAGTAATCAGGAAAGAAAAAGAAACAACAAACAAACAAAATAAAAACAAACAAACAACAAAATTTAAATTAGCAGACATTTACTTCAAGTCAGGCAAAATGAGGAAGTTTAGGCCAATAAGTAATCTTGCAGTACGTCTGAGTCTGTCGCGAATCAGACGATCTCTTCTTGTTTATCTTTGTATATCAATACAAATCTTAAGCATAAATGAATCAAATTCTTCCAAATTTTAATCCATGCTGTCCAATAAAACTCAATATAACTGGACTAAAGTCCGTTCCTGACTTTTGATGTTTTATTCAATAATATTTAACCTTGTGTTTACCCCAAATATTTATCTAAACAGTGATAAGAATGTATTAACAATTTTTTGTATATTTAAATAGATTTTGAAATTGACCAAATTATCATGGCATCACTCAGGTTCTGTCAAGATTTAAAACTTTTGAGTACACATTTAAGTCAACAAGGAAGTCTGTATACATTCCAAACTATGTAAAAAGGCGATTTGTCTGATATATTCTACGGATATCTTATCTAACAATTAATACAAATTTTCCACTGACTCATGAGCGCCACTACACTACGAAATTGAAAAATAAACTTTAAGGAACTCCACTGAGGTTATTTTTACATGAATTAAAGGACTGGAAACATTTTATCAACTCTTGTTTTCAATTTAATAGAGGATATTTGTTTAGTTCAGTGTAAGATCGGAATATATTTCACCGAGTGAGCACCAAAAGGTATATTTCACGAGTGGCGCAACCACGAGTGAAATATGAACATTTGGTGTTCACAAGGTGAAATATATTTTAATCTTACACTAAACTAAACAAATTTTCTTTTTATTACATGCAAAGAAACGTTTTAAAAAGACAATAAATCTAATAATTAATGAAAAGCGCGCCAAATAATAATGCAACGTGACGTCATTTACGACGTCACGTCATTAAGTTGGTACCCAGTACTGTGCACGCTGGTATTTCACTGAAACAACGTAAGGGGCTTAAATTCAAAACAATGAAATTATCAAAGTGGTAATTTCACTGTTTCAAACAGTGAAATTACCAGTTTTATATCACTGATATATTTCTATAAACCACCGAAAAGCATGTAATAAATGTATATCTTGCCTAATAACTTGTGAGCAAAATTTCCGTTCATTCCCTCCCTCCGATTTTTTTTTCAGACAATTTATTATTATTATTATAACATAATGAGCAAAACACTAAACACGTTGCAATGCTTTCCATTCAAAACCGGCTAAAATCTGGTGCAAAAAAAAAAATTCGTCGAGAAATCTTAAGGCCTTAAAATAAAAAAAAAATTAAAAAACAATTCGATTTTCAATCTAATCTGGGTATACTTCTTTATCATCTTTTGTCAGATTTTCCGATTTTAAGTGCAGCTACAATTTCAAATTTAAATCCTTTAGATTTTGAACCCTAGTCCTGATGAATTTCAAAATAAGTGAAATAATCAAATACTGTACAATTTAATTGTATAGTAACTTTATATCAACAAGCGTAAATTCAGTCTTGCTCTATACGATTTGAAATTATCAGAAATTGAATGTTCGAGTTAAAAAAAATTGTTAATATCACCAGTTTAATGCAACACTTGTCGAAATAAGTATTAGTACTTATAAAGCTCTACAACCCCGTTAACGATTTTTCATTTTATTTTAGGTTTTGTTTGTTTCACAGTAGCGGCCATATGGCGACTTTCCAGTTTTACTGGTGATGGAAAACCTCAGGAACTAGTCAGGCACGAGTGACACCGACGTTCCGTAAGCTAGCTAATTAGATTTCTTACATTCAATTACATGAAGGAATCTAAAGTCCATGGCGAAATGCGAACGCTTAGCGGTGAAGGACGAGGGGTTTTAAATCGTTTCCTGACGGGAATCGAACCTACAGCGTTGAGGGTCAAGAGGTTTGAAGTCAACGACCCTGACCACTCGACCACGGACGCCCCTCACATAATTATCTTTATAATCTCAGATATATTCTGCTTGTAAATTATATTTCTAAGATAAAACAGCTCTCCATCTCTATCCTAATGGTGTTCTTGTGTGTGTGTGTGTGTGTGCGCACGCACGCACGCACGCACGCACCAACACACACACCCACACACACACACACACACACATGCTTGCTTGTGTGCGTATGCGAGCGCGTGTGTGGTTTTTTCTCCCTCTCATAAAGGCCCTGAATTTATAATTTGGCCATCAGCTGGTGAAAAAAAAATTCAAACATATAGAAATAAAATACAAGATTCGTATTAATTGCCGATAATTTAGAATTTGCAAGTGTTATAAGAAAATGACAAAGCTTATATGAATACAAAAAATACAGAGGCAGTGCAAATTAGTTTAAAGAAAAACTATCCATATACATTGTATCTATACTTGCATGGTTTGCAAGTTTTGCGTTTAAACAATAAACCATCTCGTTATGTTAAAAAAAATTAAAACACATTCGATACAAATGTTATAATAAAAAATGATAAAAATAAAAATGTATTAATTTTGTTAATAATTTCAAAATTTATATTGAACCATTTATTCATTTAGTATTTACTACGTCTTTCATTATTGACAAATCATCGTTCATTATCTAATATCCTATGCGAGGTGTATTAGCCGATAGAGGGCTCACTGATAAAGAACACTAAACTGAAATCCAAATGCGAATCGCTGAATATGGGGGCAAGTTTATTATTTTTCGTGTTAATTTGTGCAAATTTTATAATCAAAGTGGAGCTTGGCGGGGACTGTAGTACCCGCTGTGAATGGTCAGGATGGAGCTCTTGGTCTGAATGTAACAGAAAATGTGCTGGCGGACATCAAAAACGTTCTAGGGAGTATTGCTGCGACGCAGAACTAGAAATTGAAGACTGTATGGCGGCGTGCGGCAAGGATTATAACACAATGAGACGTGGTTTCCGAGAAACTAAGGGCTGTAATGAAGATTGTGATCACGGCGGACAGTTCCTTTTCTCTGGACATTGTCAATGCCCTGCTAGATACCGCGGGACTTGCTGTCAAGATGGTATGTTTAGCAGTCATTATTGTAGGCGTTTATTCTTATTGTCAACTTCAATATTAATTTTATTTTTTGTTTGTTAATTTAGCAATTGTGTGAGTTTGAAATAATTAAACATGTATGTATTGTAATTAAGATTCTAAAAAATCATGGCTTTAAAGTTTCTACTATCTTTCTATATTATTTCGTTTAAGTGGTTATTTGCGGGCAACTCAGTACAACTTCATTTCACTAAAATTTGTTTGGATAATTTAGCAGTAATATTTAAGTTTGAATTAACGATGTACATGAATAGTGGTTACGCTATTTTATTTCAGTGGTTACCTGTGGACAACCCAGTACAATTTCTCATGGTAGTTTCACCGGAAGTGATTTTACCTATGCGGGCAAAATTCAATACACGTGCAACAAGAAGTATAACATGACAATCCCTTCACAATCCACTCGCACCTGCTCGTCACATGGATATTGGAACGGAAGTAACCCAACTTGCTTATGTAGGTAACAATTTGAAGAAACTGATTTATTTTTTCCCTTTTACCTTAACTGCAGCGTATATCTGTTAAATAATACAAATTGATTTTATAATAAGCTATTAACAGTGGACTAGTATAACAAACGAGCGAAAATGATGATTTCAATCATCGAATATTGAATCATTCGTAAGTAAGGTAATTCATAAACCGAGCATTTTTTTCAACACACAAAAAGACTAAACTTAAGGGGAATTTGCCGATCTCGTTTATTGTTCAAATGCTTCGAACCGCGCAGTGCGCACAGTCTGGACAAGTTTTATAGCGTTCGATTATCAATTTTTTAAATAATGTTATACTGAAATCCATAAAGCTTAAGCTTCTGCTCAAACTTCTGCACTTCTGCTCCAAATTCAGAGCAGGGTAGCACATAAAATATATATCATATTCGTATAATTGAATTGAAGCATAGTTTAAAAGATACATGTTTTACTATTTAGATGCAACTTCGTGTGAAAGCAGTCCATGTAAGAATGGGGCTAGTTGTGAGAATTTGTTGGGTGACTATCGTTGTGTATGTTTGTCCGGGTGGACAGGGAAAAATTGCGAAATTGGTAACTATTTGAAATGTTATTTTCTGTTATTAAACGACGAAGTCTATGCCATTCAGATCAATCTCTCAAGAATGAATAATGTCTTTTGTAAATGGATTATTATTTTGATTCCAAAATAAAGAAATATTTATAATTGAAATATATATGTTCTTGAATTGACCGTGCATAGTTAATAATTGGAATGATGTAAGTATAACCAGTTCAAGTTCCATCAAAAGACCAATCAATTAAAAGTAATGTGTAATGAAAATAACTAAACTGATTAACAAGAGAAACAAAGTTAATGTTGAATCTTTTATTCACAAATCATTAAAATAAGTTCAAAAACTACAACTGTATCTAATGTCGCACACAAAAACAATGATTTTTACTTCAAGATGTGCAACCACCGATTGTCCAAGGATGTCCAGCAGACCGGAATATTGTCACATCAGACTTGACAAGTCGCCAAAACTGGTCTGAACCAAATATCACAGATCCCCACGGTACACAAGTTGTCATAACAAAGAATTACCAAAAAAGTGAATTTGTATTTCCATGGGGAGAGTTTACTATACAATATAGTGCTGTCAAACCTTCCAACGGACTACGAGCGGAATGCAAGTTCAATATCTCGGTAAAACGTAAGTACGTTAAAAAATGACCAGGAAATAGAATGTAGATATCATTCTTGAGTGAAGTTTTGAATAATGAACGGTTCGAGTTCAAATGCACAGGAATAAATTTACAAAACATTTGAACCATAAACTGTGAATTTATATACTATAATCAAAACAAAAGAATATCTTTTTCCATTTTAACAAGCTAATAAAAAAAAAGGAAAATTGATGAGAATACGTTAAACTACATTTGGCGCATAATTAATTTTCCTGACGCCATTCGGGTTATTGATGTCAGACATGCCGTCATATTACGTGCAAGCACGCACTTGTCGTGGTATCGTGGAATGTGTAAATGCACTTGATCGCCTTATCTGTTTGATAGGGAAATATTCTATTCAAGTTTTTACCTTTTATACGAGTCCGTAAAATAATATGAATAAATTTCTACATTTGTCTAAATTCTGAATGTAAAATTGAATATAGACTTTTTTAATTTCCATTTATTAAAGCATTTCCATGTAAGAAGATGGACGCGCCCACAGATGGCATGATCCTCTGTAACGGCTGGAGACAAGATTATTCTCAGGTCTGCGTGTTTGTATGCAAGACGAACTATACTTTACCACCCGGATATAAAGCAGACGACATCTATGTTTGTGGTGCCACGGGTAACTGGCTTCCGGTGAATCCTGTTCCGCACTGTGTGTCCAAAAGTAAGATTCATAATTTATAAATCATATTAATGTACACTGATTAACCCATACCAGTGCACAATAACTATCTTAAATGGACTTATCCATGATTGAGTCTTAATAAGACTATTCATCATTTTCAGGGATATAAATTCTAATATAATTATTTACTGACTGAAAAGCAAACAATAAGGAGAATTATCAGATGATCTTGGTCTGCACTGGTCGCATGTGTTTTTTCAATTGTTCCAAACTAGATTTACTCCTCTAGAAATTTATGAAGGTTAGAATATAGAAATGTTTTACGTTTAGTGGACTTGCATTAAATTTTCACTGTTTCATTTGTATTGTTTCTTTGCAGATCTTTTCCCAGCCAGTCAAGTTAAAAGTTTTTCTACGTGTACTGAACCAGCTGATAAGAAGATGATATCAGAGTTCTATATAGAGTTTTTGAAGAAATCTGCAGTGAACGCGCTCTGTGAACAACACGCAGACGCCTGTGTACCGGACAATGTAGATATTCGATGTTAAACAAGCGCACGCTTTACACCTTTAGAAGTAGCACATATATATACAAACTGGGTGACACTATGATAAGATTTAAGAATATATTCTGCACTAACAGTTTATAAAAAGTGTTACTAATGTTAAATAAACAAAACATTTATTCTGTTATGTGAAGAAAGAAAGGTTATGTATTTATTTTTATTGGTTTGAAATTTTATTTATTTACTTTTTACTTGTTTTACACACTGTTTGAGTATATCGAGTAAAACAAAATAATGAACAAACCAATTGGTCGTTTAACATTTTTATTTTACCCTTTAATGTTTTTTTTTGTGACAAATGTATTAAAGATAGAATGTTTGCTTTTTCAATAGCGTAAGGTAATACACTTTATTATATTAAACTCAATACTATATTACAGAAATTGTTTGAACCCCGTTGAATAAAATAAAAAGATATAACATTTATACTAAATTGAGTTGCTTCTATTTGTTTTTTTCTGTTGTATTTGTTTTTTTTTTCTTGTTTTATTTTCTTCCCTTTTTGAGTTTTGTTATGTTTGTATGTTTGTTAATTTGTTTCTTTGTATTAAATCAAAACGTAACATTTATCGAAAAAAATCCATTCACTTTTTAATGCCCACAATTTTTATATAACAAGACCTCATCATGATAGTTAAAACCGTAAAAAGTCTGTACCCACCGGAGCAAATGAGCAACACAGTGCCAAAAATTCTGCCGCTAGAAAAAGGAGATACAATTTTACTAAAAATATTTTTATACCATTAAAATGGGCAAGAACAAAAGAGTAGGTATAAACTTGGAGTCAAGAAGACATTGAGTGTCACGGTTTATTCAATTTCGCCCATTGTTTTCTTGTTTAGAGCACACGCATTCTCTTATAGATTTAGGGACCATACGCCGCTTTCATGGTACAAACGTATGACATTGAATGTTCCATGGTAACCGCCGCATGAACACATCTGCGGATATTCCTAAATTCGAAATTTCACCATTTTCATGTTTTAATGTTGAATTCTGCTTAAGCGGGGCTATGGGGCGTGGGCGGAAGATTGTACTTTTAAGTACCGTCTATGAACAGCTCTATCAAATCGAACCTGCAACATTTTCATTTTTTTTCCTTTTTTCTATTTGGTGATAAAGGGATTTAACATTGAGCTCATATAGCCTATCGTCCGACAGGCATTATGTTAACTGAGAAATCGATTTACATTACAAAATAATTCTACACGGGATAAGGAAAGAAATGTTTACATTTCCGTGTGACTTAAGAAGTGACATCAGTACACCACGTCATGAAAATAACTCCATTGTCCAATATTGTTCAACGTAATATTTAATCGATTTCCCTTTTCTACAAACATGTTAAAATGAACTCTGCGTGCGTGCGTGCGTGCGTGCGTGTGTGTGTATGTGTGTTCTTAATGAGGGTTCAACCGCTCTATCAGGCACTGAGAGTACGGACCCCGCATTTCTATCCTGTAATGTAGTACATAATAATGTATGCATGTGAACATGAATGTATATCTATTTCCTAAAAATTTGGATAAAAAGTTATATTAAAACGAAGGGCCTGGGATATCACTAACATTATCATATCTTTACGCAGTCAATAATATTAATACCTATTTCCACTTTAATTTGGGAATACATTCTGGGGATAAGTAAATGAATTGACGCCATTTTGTGAACATCACATTTGGCGTAATTTGACATGTCAATGTTCCGAATGAATGGTTTTAGCCTTATTCAATAAGACATTTATGCGAGTAAAAACATCAGAGGATAAAAGAGGGATGGAGGTGCGGCAAAAATGTTTCATATTGATTATCATCTTTAGTATGACACGTTGTTAATGATTTTTGGTTTACGTATGTGATAACTATTTCCTCTAATCATGTTGAACAAAATGTTGACTTGATAAAACTTTTAAGATTTATGCAATTCTTACATAAATTCCATATTGATATGTAAACAAAGAACATTTTATATTTTGGACATAAAAGATATTCATCAGAAATGCCCTTTTTAATATATGTTCTTTTACAGAAACAAACAGGGAAAGCACAGAGGAAATAATGTGCGGTAAAGTTTTGTCGCCTCGAATTAATACAAAAATAAACAAAACATTAACTCGTTTCTACTAGATGATACAAAGAATTGAACACCCAAGTAATATATGGCCACGAGATAATTAATAAATTCGTGCGTGTTCCCATTGTGCTTCAAAAATCCTTAATAACATGGAAGAAGAAATACAAACAATGCATTCAAAAAAACGAAAAGAATCTTTTTTCTTAGCAAATACATTGTTGTTGGTTTACTGTTCCCTTTTGGACACCTGTTTTAAACAACCGCTAACTGCTTCAAAGAACTTTGGCGTGCTTATTTCATTGTTACTTATTGAAATAGTGTGACGGTTAAAGTCATAATGTCTTAAATTATGGTCTTATGCAATATCCTTAAAATGGCTTGAATATGTCACCCACAAGCATAAACTTAACATAAAACTATTTATTTTATATGTATATCTTATCAGAAAAAAATGTGTTTATTGGAATGACTGTACAGAACTTTATCTGAAGTATCAGGACATTATAAAGTCTTTGATGTTAAAGTTATATAAAACATAAGATGTTGTAAATAATTTATGACTCCTTTTGAATGTTCTTTTAATCATTAAATTTGGTTTCGAGATACAATGTTTTTACATGTAACCAGCCTTTTGCTTTAATATTGTTTTATGTTTGATCGATGTTTACGTAGGTCAGCTAGCATTAGTTGTGTTCCGTTTTACATCACATAAATTATACACTCATCCCATATGTTTTATACAACCAAACGATTCATTTGGCGTACATATTTAAAAAATAATAGAGATAACAAAATTCTTTCAAATATGAACATCTGCACGTATTCTCAGAAGCAATTTTAAACTAAATAAAAAAACTCTAAGAAAGAAAATTCTCCCACTCACTCAATACTTACTCAAAGGTTAACATAATTTTAAACTTTGTTTCATTATGATTGCAGTTTAATCATATAAAGGTTTTTGTTGCTTTTTTAATGGGAATAAGGGGATATTCTTTACATTACTGGTGGATGTATAATCATCTTTTCTTTTCTTTATATGAATATATTATTGATGTTATTAAGAAGAATATTTCACAAAAAAAAACAAAAAACAAACAAATATCTACATTAGTAACGGCAATTTTATTGATGATGTACTTTGGAAAACTATGGATACTTATTTTGGGTGGGTCATTGTAGATCAATGCAAGGTTCACATAAGTAGACGGTCCTGAATGTTTGTAGACCTATGAACCATAAATCATTGTACAGCGCAAAAAATATCATATATATATCCATATATATTGCTAATGATAGTATTTATAATACCGCACGTTTGTAACGTCGCTTTTCATAATCGTGACGTTTATATAAACTTTATATACGGCTTCTGTGAAATTATGAAGTAATTTCATGTTTTCTCTAAAAAGGAAGTTTGCAGTATTATAAATTCGTTATAAAGATTCTTGACATGGTATATAGTCGGCAACAGGATGCAATATATCCCTATCCAAGCGGTTCGGACTGAGGTATATACGTATAAGGGAATATAATCTGTCAAAAATCTTTATAACTAGTAATATAATTGATACTGCCCAGGGTATTTACATTGTGCTTTATAAAGCACCTACTTTTATTCATACTTTTAAAGTATAAAAATATATAAATAATCATGCAGTTTGGGAAAAGGACGTAATTATATAAATGAAAGAAGATTTGTAGTGACTATCCGGAGAGTGAATATTTACTCTACATTGATTTGGTATTTTATTTGATTTTAAGCATTTCATTTCTAATAAAATGTATCGGATTGATAAACTCTATTTGACTTCGCTCCAACATTTGATCATAATGTTATCTTTAATTCCTTTCACAGACAGGCGTAACTTGTTACTTATCGTACATTGGATTACAATAATCAGCCAATCGCAAGACGCGTTACAAAACCATCATCCAGGTAACGTCCGCCTCTATCAGAATTCCCGTTATTTGACATCACGCGGTGACTAAATTTTGCTAGATTGAGTATTACCAATATATTTCACGTTAGAGAGGGATCGATTTCAATATAGATGGCACGAATGTATTAAACAAAACAAAAATGGTGAGTTTAAATGATATTTATAAGCATTTTGATTTAAATATTAAAAAAGTAGTTTCAGATAAAAAATGACTTATGCATGATATTTTAAGAAAGCCAAGTAGAATTTATCTTGCTTGTTTCATTATGCGGGTTAAAAATATGATAAGTTTTGAAGTCTACAACTTAATGTTTGGATTTGAGATGAAACAATAAGTTGCAAAACTTTCAAAAATAAGAAAAGAATTCACTTTTTCAGTTGAAGATGCTTAGTAAAAAAGTTTATAAAATAAATCATTATCCCTAATAAATTTATAATATATATATTTATAAAAAATATACGTCAAATTAAAGTGTTAGTATAGAGGAAAAAGGTCAGTTTACTGTTTAAAAGTAAATTGGTATTTCATGGAAGGTCTGTACTACAGTAAATAATAATGTTGATCAAATGTAATATTAAACATAGCAACAATCCACGGAAGAGATGTTGAAAAGTGTAAGATACATGATCCGAGATTTTGAAAAGTAGATAATGAAATGTTCTAAAACAAAATGATATTAGTAATCATAATTAATCACTTGGAACTTTATAAACATTAATACATTTCTATTGTTTTTATCAATATTTGAAATACTAAGAGCATTGTGTTGTATGATTTGACGAACAGCAATTTCACTATGGCATATATATTTATGGATTGAGGTGTTTAATAACTTAATCTAAAACAAATATAGACATTGATGGCGAAGTATATCTTTGATATTATTACATTATCAGCTACCTCACGGTTTTGTGAAGTCTTCAGTTAATTTTGATGATAAATATACTGTCTTGATTTATTACAGTTCCTCGCTAAATGTTTAGTTTGCTGTTTAATGGTAACTGTCTCGACCGGCGATAACGACGAAAACACGGTAAGAAACTTTTGAACTAACCGATTTTATCTCTCTTAAAGTTTACATCATGAAATGATTTGTTTACTTTTATTTTTAAGAAGAGAATTTATTATCAGTTTTTTTGTTTTTGTTTTTTTTTGTAAACAGATAAAGATTATGGTTTCAGGAAACCTCAAATACTCCACGCGAGGTTAAACACGAAATAAAGCTCTTTAAATTATCATATTATTTATAAAAATATGTCTCCAACACCGTTATGTGAATGCGGACAAATAAAATATATCACTTTTTATTGACTGCCGACGCATAATGGCAACCAAAACACCTCAGCCATTTATAATGCCATTATCTTCAAGCACTTTCATACTTATATTTAAAAAACAAAACCATTTATTTG